GAAGGGGGGGGGGGGTTATTGTAGTATTTCACCAATAATCAGGACTGCAGCCCAAAGATACTAAGCACAGTGATGCCTTTTCCCTGAAGTCAGAAATCGCAGAATTTGCCTTATTTCACTCTTGATTGTGAGTAGGTGTGAGATATTTAAGCAAATCATGGAAATGAAGCAAAGCTAAAGACAGAACTGCTGGGTTCTTAAAGGGGAAAGACAGAGATAAATTGTGGAGAGGAGAGTGAAAATTGTACCTGTATCAATCTATCTGCCAAAGAAGCACTTTCCTAAAAACAGAGAAAATCCATAAAGGAAACAGCAAAGAGAAGAGAGAGACCAAAGGATATTACAACACAGAACAAAATAATAAGACCGATTTGACAGAAAACAGTGTTCTTTTTCATACCCCTACATTAAGACATTGCAAAGACACTGTTTTAGATCAACATTTACTAAATTAGCATAAATGCAGATTTGAAACGGTCATAGTGAGCTGGGGTAGAAAAAGTTTGAGCATAGTCACGCTTGGAGGAGGTTTGAGCATGGTGTTCGTGCTGTGGCTATGAAATAAAGCAAGATTGTGACACCACAACAGGGTGAAAAGTGTAAAAGGAGGCCAAGCAGAGGACAGTCTGAGCGTCAGTAGGGTGAGAATACAACGGAAACTGGTGTCATTTTAAAGTTTGTGGATCTACTATATTTGCACAACAAACGCGGCCCTGGGTTACAAATGGGGAACTTCTGAAGGTGTTTGAGTTAGTACTTCATTTGAGTACAAAGGTTCCATGCGGGGAGGAGATGGAAGGCGAGTACATGTGCGGTTTTTTTTTTTTAAACTAACCGATCTGCACCATGGGCTGTCTGTTTCATGCATGACACAAACATGCCTTTACAAGCAGAGAATATTCCAACATGCACCAATGCAGGTTTGGGTTTTCACCCATGCTCAAAAAAGTATAGCTCAAAAGACCTGTCAGACAACCATTCTTGTCTGAAATTAATACATGTAGACAAGCATTACCCATGTGCACACCCAAAAGGGTGATTTTTTTTTTTTGTTATCACTGTACTTACCAGCCTCATAAAACACAAGTTTTCCAATGACATGCACACAAGCCAGTTATGATACACCCAATCGGGTGTGTTCAAGCATTTGCTATTGGTTACACCAAAGAATTTCCAAAGAATAACTGACAACAAAGAGAGCCATGAACCAATTCAAGATGAGCAAATATGGGATGACATAATGGTGTATGGATATGTTTGAATGATGAATGATTTGCTTTGCATCTTAATTATCACTCACTTTCTCCAGAGTGTCTATTCTCTGCTTCAGGAGTCTGTTCTCTGTGCGTAGTCTCTGTAATGGCGTGTCAACATCAACAATGTTAGACTTAAATAAAGCAATACAATTAGTTTGAGCTTTGATTAATTCAGTTAATAGCATTTATTAAAATAATTACTACTATTTTAAAATGCATTGAAAAAATAAGAGCTAATTGTAGTCAATGGACTTTTCACATTTCGGGGGTTCTCAAAGTTAAAGGGGTCATATGATGCTGCTAAAAAGAACATTATTTTGTGTATTTGGTGTAATGAAATGTGTTTAGAGAATAAAAGTTACGCCTTCTTTCTTTGCGTGAACATTTGGGCGGCGTTATGCAAATCTTCCCACATAGTGAGGTAGATATGTGGGGGCGTGTTAGAACGAGCCGTTTTAGGTAGGTGTGGCTGACTCTTAACTTTTATAAAGAATATCTCTTTGGATTTGAAACTTTAGTCTTTGCAACTTTACAGATCTTCTTCATGCACCAAGAGCTTGTAACACTCCAAAGAGAAAGGAAAAATTGAAATCGCATCATATGACCCCTTTAAGTAAACGTCTACAGTGGTGAACAGAAAATTTCAGGAAATATAATTTCTGTGCTCCCATTTGCTTCAGTAGTAAAAGAAAAAATCTATACTATCATTTCCACAACTTCCCAAAAGTGGAAAAAACATAGATTGATTACCCTCAGAAGAGAGAAAAATGTCAAATTTGGAACACACTCACAGCACTGTTAACTAGCTTTTTTGCCTATACATAAAAAATAAAAACTAGGTATACAATGTTAATAAAAATGCATCAAAGCCTATGCACAGTGTCCATAAGCGCACACTAAAATGAATGACAATAGTAGCAAAAATGTTCGGAAAGGCATCATTTAGGCATGCTATTAGGAATGGGATGGCTGTCTCACCTTGATCTCCACCTGTTCCTCCATCTCCTTGGTTTTGATTGTAGTGTACTCCTTTTCCAACCTGAGAATAAAGGCATAAAGAAACAGTTCAGCAATCTTCAATGTCCAAAAACATACAAAAAAAAAAAAAAAAGAAAAAAAATTCACTTTACACAATGGGTCCACTATCCAGCTGGTGAGGGATGACCTTCTGAAAGTGCTGCAACAGAGTGAAAATATCAAAACTATATTATTATTTTATTATTATTACTACTACAATTATTATACACTACTATTTATTCCTATGATGGCAAAGCTGAATTTTCAGCAGCCACTACTCCAGTCTTCAGTGTCTCATTTGGTGCTTAAGAAACATTTCTTACTATTGAAAATGGTTTTTACTGCCATTCAAAAGTTTGCAGCAAGTAAAAAGTTTTTTTTAGTAGTAAAAAAAATAAATAATTAACATTTATTCAGCAAGGATGCTGTTTATTAGATTTTTATATTCATCAAAGAATCATAAAAAAATATATATCACCAGTTCCACAAATATCTTAAGCATTTGTATTAACTGGGGAAATGACTACTCAAAATTCAGCTTTGCCATAACAGAAATAAATTGCATTTTAATATGTACTACAATAGAAAATGGCTATTTTAATTTGTAATATTATTTCACAATATCACTGTTTTAACTTTTGATCAAATAAAAAAATACAGAGACTTCTTTCAAATATATAAAAAAAAATCGTAATTATTCTAAACTTTTGACCAACCTTTAAAAAAAAATTATCTGCAATCCAATGGTTACTCAAAAATGTAAAGAACTTTTGTATTTTGCTTAAAAAAATAATTGCATATTTGTAAAACAAACTCATTTGTATAACAGCTCTAGACTCTAATCATGGTGTGGCAACTTCCACTGAGAAAAGTATCAGCTTGCATAGCAGCTATAATTAAGTTAAATGTGAGTTTATCCTTGAGAATAAAATGTTTATAAATAATCCACCTGCAACATTCCCTCCATGTCCAACTGCATGAGCTCAGCCTGATTCATCTGCAGGATGGCCATGCCCACACGAAACACTATCTCTAAACCCTGTAAGGACACCTACTGGTGAAAAATCAAGATCCAAAAATATATGCAGTAGCATTGTGAAGCCACCAGAGGGCGATAACAGACCACTGAAATACACCAGTGTGTTGTGTTCTCAAATTAGCTTAGCATGCAAAACATATGACTACATAAAAATGAGAGGCTGAGTAGAGTGTGTGAGGAGAGAACGAATGATAACCATTAAGTCCTACCTCACACATGAATATATCAAAGATCCTGGTGGCGACAGGAAGAGGAAAAGAGGTAAGAAAGATGGTGAGGAACCAAGATGAAGCATACATGGAGGTGTGGAAACTCTGGGCCTGGAAGTGCACATGGAGCTCTGGGAGCTGCTCCTGCAAGGAGAAACCAAAAGAGATGGTGAAATCACCAGGTGAAAGCAATAAGTTGGTATAATTTAATTTCGTGTGCATTGAATATAAGCATTAAGCTAAGCTTTATAGATTTATGAGGAACAAATCAGCAGACAGTCACTGACCTGAATCATACATTCAAACTGGTACATGCATAGGCCAAGTTCAGCCATACTGGGTTTAAAGAGCTCTCTCAGCCTGTAATCCTGCATCAGTTTCACAAACACACAGAAAGCCTCTTCTTCTGGCATCTGCAAGAAGGCAACAATTATATAGCACACTATCACAGACTGTAAATATTAATAACTTCTGTAATAACTGTACTATTGTTATTATTATGTAATAAAATGTTACATTTAAGAAAAACGTGATTAATAGCTAGAATATTTTTTGATTGTGTTAATACCTGCATTAGAAGAAGGCCGACAATGAAAGCACTTCCCTGACAGTAGCCCACCTCTCTATCAACCAGGGAATAAGCCTGTAAACACAAAAGTTATAAAATCATTGCTCAGTTAAGAGCAGAACAAGATCTGTTATTCCCTCATTATTACTCATCTTAAAAAAAATAAAAATTAGCAAAAAAAAAACTCCAGCGACCTTTAGGTGTTTTCCTTGTGTAAACTCCGGTTTCAAATGACATTAAACAAAAACCAATGTCAGGTGGTGTACAGATCAGGAGGTTTATATTCCTATAACTAACTAACTATCAACTATAACTACTTTGTCCTAGTTCAAGGAGATTCTTCTGATATTAAATATACTGTTGCCTTAAATAGAAGTGGCTAATAACCTACCTTCATAACATTAAAGAGCACCTCCTGACCCAGACTGTCCTTCTCCTTAAAGAACTCATGCTCGGGGTAGGTACGGGCAATGTCCCTGCGGATAAGCTTTTCACAAGGCGAGGTCATCTTCAGCAGCTCAGAATACTGCTCCTTTATGGGTAGATTCTGGGCATTGCACAACAGCTGCCACACTATTGCTCGGAAGTGATGTGGAATGCCTTTCCTAACCAGTTCCTAAGAAAAAAAAACAAACCACTGATTTAAATATTAACACTGAACGTCAGGACATAAGCGTGCAACAGAGTGAAAATATCAAAACTATATTATTATTTTATTATTATTACTACTACAATTATTATACACTACTATTTATTCCTATGATGGCAAACCTGAATTTTCAGCAGCCACTACTCCAGTCTTCAGTGTCTCATTTGCTACTTAAGAAACATTTCTTACTATTGAAAATGTTTTTTACTGCTTAATATTTTTGTCGAAACCATGATGATACACTGCCATTCAAAAGTTTCCAGCAAGTAAAAAGTTTTTTTTTTTTTTAAGTAGTAAAAAAAATAGAAAGAAATTAATACATTAATACATAACAGCCTAACTTAAAAGCAAGTACGCATACTGCCAAATCTCCATTAGTTTATTTGAAGGATTACACTCAAATTACTCAAGGTTCCAAGATTGTCAGCATTCAGATGTTCTCCCCAGGGTTTAGTATGTACCACAGACAGGATAAGACCATTTTATGCTGCTAAATATAACCTTGTCAGAGATTTCTACAGCAAAGCTCGATGTTTTTGTAACCAAATTATGTTTGACCTGATTAAGCTGTTTCCTGTGCTCATCTGCGCAGTAGAAGATTGGCTTAGATGGCTTATTTCTACAGCTGGTCATTGAGATGAGAGTCCACCTACATAACACGGTCAGCACTGAGATTCTTCAAAAGCACTCTAGGGGTGTGCTAGAGATGTGTCTTTGTTAGAATACTAGGCTGTACAAAAGACTTCTGTTGCTGCTTTGCTAGAAGCGCCTGAGATCCTCCTCTTTGGCTTGTAAGAGGTCATACATTAAACACAAACTGCATTTACTTTGTCTCACTGAGGTCAGTATGTTCTGTGGGAAAGTGACAACTGTGAAATTTGCTTAAGTGGTTTATATCATTTTCTCTTTCCCATTGTTTCCTTGAAAATGTTATTGTGTGAGCGGGATATGTAAAACACTGCAGAAGCATTATTTTAAGAGGAAATGGAAAATATTTCAGAAGGCCTAAGCTTCCGTGTAATTATAAAGGAATGTTTTGGAAAAATATAAAGTTGATAAGAGTTTGACCAGCCATTCAAAAGTTTTTAAAATGTTAAAACGGTCTTATATTTTTATAAACAATTTTTTTTTTTTTGCTACATACCCAGGAGCAAACAATACATGCTAGGCTCACTATGAAATTAATAAACCATTTATCATCACACACCACGTTTAAAAATAAAAAAAATAAATAAACTGAATATTCATTATTCAAATATCATTATATTTTATATCAAACTTTATAGCTGGTTGCCATCAGTAAATATAATCCTTTCTCTCACGGAGCCAACCACTTTTACCATTTTTCTTAATTCATGAACACATTAGCACTACCAGCAAATCACTCACATATTTAAATTGGGCCGTATGTTTTATGAGCTTTTTTGTAATGTGTTTCACTACCTTATAACAGCAATAAATCAGTAGCTGTGTGCTTGTGCAGTATATTTGATGTTGCTGTAGCTTTGCTCTAAATGCCAATGAAATGTTGTTTTTTTTTTATTGTTGTAATTAAATAAAAGAATGACATCTGAAAACCCTTATGTTCAGTGATAAGTGGCATATATCTGATTTGCCCACAGTACTTGATGGATAGTCTATCTGCTTACCTTTAGTTGTTTTTCCTTCTTCTTCCGCACATCTTCCCACTCATTGACGATGCGTCCCCACATGATCCATGTATCCTCCTCCAAGTGTGACAAGTTGGAGGAGGCTGATGAACTAGACACCAGTGAGGAGCCACTGTTCCTTCGAGAGCCATTCACAGACCGTAAAGACTTACTGTCCGTCTCCAACAACCTGGAAAGACAACCATGGCAGAGAACACTTATTACAGAAGTAAACTATAAAATTTTTGTTTGTGCTTTTAAAAGAAGCATAAATGAAAACTCAAAAATTAATATATGAACTCAGAGTTAACCTACATCAGATGAAATAGGGCCTGACAGTATGATGGTAAAGGTGCTCTTAAGCATCATACAAAACAAATGTTCAATAAAGTGTTATACAAGTAGTGGCCAAAAGTAATGTCTAACTTAAATGGACTTCTTTCCTCAATGGACATCTTCACCTGTAACATTTTAGTATTAAAGGGATAGGCTAGTTCACCCAAAAATGAAAATTCTGTAATTTATTACTCACCCTCATATCGTACTGTCATGAATAACAGCAGAGACTGACCGGAAGAGAAGAAACTGTTGAATAAAGTCACTATTTTTATTTTCTTTGAGCACAAAAAAAAGTATTCTCGTAGCTTCATAACATTACGGTTGAACCACTGATGACACAGACTATTTTAAGAATATCCCTACTATGTTTCTGGGCCTTGAACGTGGTAGTTCCCTTGCTGTTTATGCAGGGTCAGAAAGCTCTCGGATTTCTCCAAAAATATCTTAATTTGTGTTCCGAAGATAAAGAAAGGTCTTACGGGGTTGGAACGACGTGAGGGTGACTAATTAATGACAGAATTTTCTTTTTTGGGTGAACGATCACTTTAAGGATTTTGTAAGAATATTGTGTAGTTGTGCTTGGAGTGTAAAAATAATGTACATGCTTAATTGTTTCATTTATTATAACACAATGGAACAAGACAAAGTGTCACACACACACAAAAAACACAAATATGAAAAACTTCAGTACTGCCCTGGAGAACAACTGCTGTAAAAAAAAAAAGAAAAAAAAAAGGGAGAACCAACAAAATACTTGTATTCACTGCATGTATGCTTTATTTCCTGTGAGTTTTTTGTTGTTCTATGCATTTTTTTGTTTAGTAAAATAAAACCCATACCCATAATAAGCTGTAGTAGGCTGTTAATGCATATCCATTTTATATTATTCTTTTTACAGTTTCTTTTTTTTGTTTTGTACAATGTGAAGCAGTGTATGCCAGTGTATTGCACTGGTGCCAGAATAATCATTTGTTTTAATAATATTATTATCTTTTGGATAAAGTGTCAAATAATAAGAGAAATGTCAATATTTTTTTTTATATTTATTTTAATATTAACAAATTTCCAGCAAAAAGATTTATTACCAAGACATAAAAATGTACTGTGGCATAAAAATGTTATTAATACCACCCACTCTAAAATGAAATGTAATACAGTTTAAAGGTAGAAGCTGTATTTCAGGAAGTGTTGGTGTACAGATGGAGCAGCGATAAGAGAAGCCATCGCATTAAGTAACACAATAACAGTCACAACTTTGTTCATGTCAGCTTTTCATCCAGTTTCAGAGAAGTCATCCAAGTTGATAATCAGTGAACTGAATGGCAAACAGGTTTTTGTGGCAGAGACTACCATCCATTCTACAGAGAAACAGTAGTGATGCCACTGCTGGCAACTTATGGCACCGACATGTTCATGTTGACATTAAAGTTGTATTTTGGGCAGCAGTAGCTGTTAGCTGCATGGCTAAACTGGTCCCAGCACTCTTTTTTTGCATAAGCGGAAAAAAACACTGGGTGGCATGTCTGTTCCAGACATTAATACAGTTCTAAGCAACGCACAATTCAGAGCACAGCATTAGAAATGTTTTAGACTTAAAAGTCAAGTATTTATTTACAACTGAATAGTGTTATGAAACAGGGGATGTTTGCCAAATGAGTGTGCTAGCTTGGGAATGTTGGCAGACAGCTATAAATGGAGAAGCTAATTTAAGACTCCCCAGCATATCTTATGCAAAATGCAGTGGTTGTAAAACAGAAAAAAAAGAATAGAAATTCTTTGCAGAATAGGTGAAAAAAGGCTAACCGCATTAGCATCTGCACATAGAAAAATCAACAGGACAATAAAACCTAAAAAGCCTATCCAAAAATAAACAAACAGACAAATAAGGCATGAAGAAACAGACTAAATCTTCCTGCCAGCAAAATTCAAAACACTTCAAAACAAAGTTGTAAAATGCTTATTACATAGTTAGCGTAAAAAAAATAAATACGTCCCTTTCTGACTGTGAGCGACAGTGTGGAGGCGCTATCATTGTGAACCTGACCCCGGATCAGCTGGAAAACAAGCAGACAATGCTCGTGAGTAACCTCAACATTTAAGAGCTGACAGCACAGACACAAAGCCATGGAATTGGAATTTCTGATCTCGGAAAAAGAGTGGGGCCCCGGTTCTCTAAAGGTAGCGCTAGGTGACGTCATGACCAAGGCTCTGAGGCTGGATCCAGTTACAGCCGCTTTTGGGTCATGCAAGGGGGGGCCACGGTTGTTAGGGGTGAAAGGCAGCGAGAGAGAGTCATGGAGTTCACAGCTGAGGGGTTGTGATGCTGAACGAGTTACTGGTGGTAGGTGGGCAGAAAAGGAAAAAAAGAGAGACGGTCCTGCTGGGACACTTTCAGTCTCTGTTTTTCTCAGACTACTGGACTTAAATCCTCGAAAATGTATCTTTTCAATCCAATTTTTGTTAGAAGCACACTATAAACTGCATTCTAAACAACTTAAAGGTTACTTTAAATTCCAGTCACGAATTGCAATGGGATACATGAGAATGTAATCCAATTGGTTGTGGCCGTCTTAGACACCACTAAAATCATGAAGCAACTGGTTATTCTAACCAGTATGAATAATAATTCTATCGAAGTAAGACAAACAACATTAAAGGGGCAACAAAAAATTATTAGCAACTGAAAGGAAACTTTACAGACCTTCATTATACAGTAAATGAATAGTTCTATCATCATTTACTCGCGTATGTTGGTAACCATCAGTTTTCGTTTGAACTGTGACCATTTTCAAAATATCTTTTATGTTCCGCAGAAGCAAGAACAGGTTTGGAACAACATGAATTGGTCTTTGAATTTTCCTTTTTGGGTGAACTATGAAATGCATAATGAGCAACCTCCATCTTCTTTGGGGCAAGGCAGAGCTTGCCTCTTTGGTATGTGGGCACAAATGAGAGGGCCTGGTTAGGGTGCAAAAAACAGAAATAGTCAAATCTTTGCTTCTAAGTGGAAATGTATAAAAATCTTTATTCTGTTTAATCTAATCTAGCGGTTCTTAATCCTGATCCTACAACCACACTACAGCCCAGATGCAAACCTTTATCTTGATGGTATTTACTCAAAGGACAGAAAGTTTGGGAAATCCCACAAACATTTTGTAATTACATCCACTCACGAGCCATTGTACAGATGTTCATAAACTATATTAAATACAAATAAAGCAGTTAAATAAAGTATGTACAGTAGGCTTAACCTATTTGATGAATTTAGTAAGCATTAAGACAATTTGCATTGCAAGCGTTGCTTCTGTGTTAATGATTCACTGCTGGTTAAAGTGCAAAGTGGATTCTTGTACAAGAAACAAACACTGCTCATTCCTCCAAAAAACATTTCACTTTGTAAAAGCAGATAGAAAGCCAAGTACTTGTTCTATGAATTAATTAAAAAAGCAACCACAAACAGAAAAAAAGACAGTGGCGGTAAAAAAGACAGCATTAATAAAAATGGGTAACCGGCTGTCAATCACAGCTCCGCTGCATCTGCGATAGAGAATTGATCAAAGGTATTACTGTGAAGCTGCTCACCACGGGAAGCTCATTCTGCAATCCACATGCCTTTCCCCGGATTTCTCCAAGTAATCCTAAAGTGTGTCTGTGAGAACTGAAACAACCTGATTCTCTCTCACACTCTCTTGCTGTCTCAGTCTCACCCCACTCTCTCTCTCTCTCTCTCTCTCTGAGCCCGCATAACACACACACAAACAATGCTTATCTAAAGTGCAAAGGCCCTCAACCTGTGCAGCAGCAAAGCAAAATCCCAGTGGAGTTCAAAATATGTGGGGGGTGAATTACTGACTTTTATTTCTTACCAGCTATGAAACTGTATTTTGCATTACAAAACAACAGAATTATTTCATAGTCTTGCAAATTCACTTCTATGTCATTGGCAGCATCATATAGCATCATAGAATTTCTCTGTGAAACGTTACCTTACAATCATGTCACATTGTGATTTGTTTCCTTGTTTTCATTTTTCTTTTATTTTATTGACTAAAGTCCCTTGTAACTCATTTGGTTCTTGATTCATTTTGAATCATGGTATGGAGTGTCTTGACGACATACACTAGCATTCAAAGGTAAAAAAAAAAAACAATTTACATTGTTTAAATAAATGCTGTTCTTTTGAACTTTATACTATTCAAAGAATACTGAAAAAAATGTATAATGGTTTCCACAAAAAATATTAAACAGCACAACTGTTTGTAACATCAATAAAAAAGGAACTTATTCTTAAGCACTTGATCAGCATATTAGAAGGGTTTCTGGAGGATCATGGGACACTGAAGTATTATGGCTGCTGAAAATTCAGCTTTGCCATCAGAGGAAGAAATTGCATTTTAAAAACTTTTAAAACAGAAATTAGTAATTTTATATTGTAATACTTCATAAATTACTGATTTTATTGTATTTTTGATCAAATAAATGCATCCTTGTAAGGGTACTAAGAGACATCTTTCAAAAAAATGTATTTTTTATTCCAAATCTGAACTTTTTAATGCTAGTGTAAAGTAGGGCTGGGTATCAGAAACCGCGCACTAATAGATATTGCAATCCAACACATAACAATTTAACTGAATTGTGTTTGAAAATCTGCTATATATACACAAATATATAAAAGAGTTTTAGTGCGTCAGCGAGACATAAGTGAATCTGCAAATATCAATCTCTCATGCTGTTCAGAATTTTGTTCTTTTGAGCACAGTGTCTTGGACATGGCTCTGACTTTACGGGGGAATGTCAGTCTGTTTGAGTTGCTGCTTCTTTATTAACTGAACCACAGGAAACAAGAATTAA